TGTGTGTGTGTGTGTGTGTGTGTGTGTGTGTGTGTGTGTGTGTGTGTTGGGGGTATTGTGTACTTGTGTCACTGGAATGGGATACCTGGCTATTTCTTGATGACAGCTGTTACAGTGGTCTTAGCTTGTGATTTTTCCTGGTAGAATGAAACATGCTGCCAAATTATCCATTAAGCAAAACTTACTCTCTGAAAACTTCTTGGTCTCTGACACTTTTAAAGTATATAGGATGCTGTACTTAATTGTCACAAATCATCTAATCCCTTTAAAGTGGGACTAATAGCTTAACCCATTAATAGACATACCATTTTAGAAATATACATGTTACTTGTAATATCTGGTTTCTTCTATATAAAGTTACCTAAATTGAATTGTCTTTATTTTAAAGAGACTTGATAAAAGTATGTATAGCTGGTGCTCAATACTGAATCAAACTGGTTACACAGAAGCACAATACACTCCTTTCTTTGTTTCTGCTGCACTAATTGCCAGGGATTGGGAGAGGAGGAGCAGCAACTAATCATGGTAGGTAGATGTGGGTGGTGGTTGCTGTGAATTTTGACTGGAGAAATTGAAGTTCACAATTACTTGAAGTTTGCTGTCCCCTGAAGAGATACCAGCCAGCATTGGGACAGTCTCAGCACCAGGGTAAAAGTTCATTTACATCTCTTTAAAGGTTCTGTTATTAACAAAATTTTGAGCCACATATATTTCTTGTGGGTTATATTATATTCGTATGTATAAGAATCTTGAACTTGTAGAAATTGTATATATATGAATAGATATACATGTTTGTATATATACATATGTTTATGCATATACATTTATGTGTATATGAATAGATGTTCCCAAATCACACATGAATGGGAAACTGCAAACAACTGTATACAAGGTACAATAAAAGACTGGACACCATGCATGGCAGTCTTTATAAGCTAAAAGTGTAGCTGACCCCGCCACAGAGAAACGGCAAAATAAAGAGAACATTTTATTGATCCTTTAAACACTTCAGAGAAAATTAAAGAATCTCACATTATATGAGTTTTAGTATTTTTACAGATCACTGTTTAAAAGAAGGAAATTGGTACACTTCTGTGTTGGTGCTCCTCAGGTGGTCTGTGCATCCAAAACATCATGTTAATCTTTAAGAAGCATCGGTACAGTTTTTAGGTAGTTTTCTAAATGTCAGACTTCTTAGAAGAGGGCTGATAATATAGCTCAGTTGGTGGAGCTGCTAGCTTAGCATGCATTCCTAGCACAAACAAAAAACATTGCTTGGTCTCATCTATTTTGTCCAAAAGACTAAGGTCCATAGGTGGCTTGTACAAAGTGAAAAAATTGCAAAGATTTCTAAATGCCAGTAGCTTGACACCATTAAAGTTTCCTTTTTACATCTAAATTTCACAACTTTGTACTTTAGGCAACTTTGGTTGTTACACTTGCAAGTTCTTTTGTCTTGAGGATAATTCTTTTCATACACATCCAAAGGCAGACTGACAACTTTGCTTTTTTGATAGGCATTAAAAGTCTAATTAGTTTTTTCACCAAATCTCTTCAAAGATCACATTCCTCCAGTAGTTGTAAGCTGAAAATACATTCTTTGTTTTCCTTGTTCCCCCTTCCCCCAAAAAAATCTCTATTGTCCCCACTACTACTCCTTAGGGCACCTAGAGTCATATGTGGGCTGTTGCATGGTCTACCCAGGTACAGGAATAGGATTTGTATCTTCAGATACTACCCTACCTTCTCAAAAAGGGAGTCATACTGTAGGGATGTTAATGTCTTCCTCTTGAAATAAAAATAAGGTGAATGTCGTCTGTGAGTTGGTTGAGGTTACTCAGCAGGTACAATGCTTTCCTTGCAACCCTGACAACCTGGATTTGATCCCTGCAACTCTTAGTAGAAAGAACCAAAAGCTGTCTTCCGACCTCAACGTGTGTGCCATGGCATGCAAACCTCACAAATTTCACAAACACAATAAAATGTTTTAAAAAATCACTCTTTCGTAAGAGTTTGTATTTCTTATAGTTAAGAACATATTAGAAGCGGGGTGGCATTTGGAATTTCTGTAATTACTGCCTTTTCATAAACTAATCTGGTTAGAAAACTGGGTGGACGGATGGATGGGTGAATGGGCTGTATGATTTCATGTAAGTATATCTCTTGGGGATAAAAATGTTCTTAGTCTTTAATTCGTGCCCTGCTTACATATTGATTACTTAGTTGGATACTGATTGAAGTTTCACGGGGTGAGCTGAATGGGAACAAAATGAGGAAAATGCAAATAAGTTTTCTTGCAGGACTGAGTTAATCCTAAAACTTTCAGGATCACTCATTTAACTTTGAACTTGTGTGGCTATTGATAATGAGTGCAGCACCTTGACTGCAGTTGAAACATGTTTGAAAAGCTGCTTTTGTGCTGTAGAGGTCTAAGTAATGCAGCCCATAAAACTGAAACAGGTTAATGATAAGAGTATAAAGTTGGTTTAACACATTTCAAGACGTCCAAAAGTTACCTTTTAGGATATCAGGGTGGAATTGTAAAACTTGAAATTAGTGGGTGAAATGTAACATGAAAGATCTGAAGCTAAGATTTAAATTATCTCTAAGGCTGACAGCTCAGCACATGAAGGCACTTGACACCAAGCCTAAAATGCAGATGGTAGGAGAAAACTGACTATGCAAAGGTGTCCCTTTATCTCTAGGTGTGCGTGTGTATGTGTGTGCATATCTTAGAAAATAAGATCAGCAAATCAGACATACTGATCTTCACTCTGAATTACTAGTTCACTTTTAGATTTTGGTTACTTGCAGGACAGTCCATTTCAAAAGAAAAAAAAAAAAACTAAGAAAATGTATATCTAGAAGTAGTCTGCTGTCAGTAAGATTTGGTGATTTAAAGTGAGATATTACCTTATTCCTATATTGTGCTCTGTCTCTGTTTATAATACAAGCAGGAGAAGAAGGAAAGTTTTTAACTTTTGCTTTCTGTTCTCCCAAGGAGAACAGAAAGCCTTTTGTGAATTCTCGGTCACCTGTAGGCACAACTCCACTAATCAATTGGTATTCTGTACATTGCCAGCTGATTCAAGAAGAGCCATTTGTTTATGCTGAAGCTTCCATCTGGAAGCTTCCATTTGTTTATGCTGAAGCTTCCATCTGGAAATATCAGGCCGACCTGTGCACTAAAAGCTCTTCTGTCGGGTAGCTTTCTCCAAACTGAGTGGTTCACAATTTCCACGCAGGTCAAGTTACAACTGAAACATGGTACCCCATTATAATGGAGCCCCAGCCTAAACCTCTCACTTAGGCGACCCAAAAGTAATTTATAGAAACAATTGCTAGGCCACACTAAGACTTCATTCACTCAAACAAGATTGTGAAAATAACTGATTTGGAGTTCCACTACTGGGTGTGGAACTTACCAGGAGTGTTTTCAGATGCCTTTGGGCTCCAAGTGAGAGAGTACAAGTGTTTTTGCAACAACCCAAACCATTTAATTCTGACTTAACTTGTTTTGAGAAGCCATTAGGAGTACAGACAGTCCTCCAGAAGTATTGAGATGACTTGACTGTAAACATGAACACCCTGGGTTAGAAGTTTACCCTTAGCATGAGGTGCCAGACAGCAGCTGCAAGGGCCATGGTGGTGGTGACATTACTAAACTGCTTTCATGACAGTTTTTGTCCACTAAGAAACAGGAAAAGTAGGGCCTTCCAGAGGGGCTTCTTTATACACCTCATACTGTATGTGATTTGTGTAACGCTGTCATCTTCCTTGTGTGAGGCTTGGTTTTTCTCCTTTGAACCTAGGGAAAGAATGCCACCTTTAGTGTTCCATCTTTTGAGTCCTTTCATCTGAGTGCTCATGATTCTGCCCTAATGGCACTTTTTGGTAGTGTGGATATTTTAAGTATTAGCTCAACACCCACTCATCCCTATGCTTTTAAAGAATGAGTGATTCGTAAGATGGCTGTCAAAATTTAGGTTAACGAAAAGCTGACAGCAGCCAACAATTCTTAAAAGAACAGCTTAAGGAGGGGAAGGTTTATTGTGGCTCCTGGTCTCAGGGTTCACTCCAGGGTGGCCTGAACACTCGCAGCAGGACCACAAAGCAGCTGGTCACTGTCCACATTCAGATGTCAGTCAGGAAACAGTAATGAGAACTGTTCATCTTTTTCTTTTAATTCAATCCAGGACCCCAGCTCTTGGAATGATGTTTCCCACACTTGGGAGGTTAGGGCTTCTCAATTAGCCTACTGTAGAAAATCCCTCACACACATATCCAGAGGTTTGTCTCCAGGGTGATCTAGGTCCTGTCAAGTTGATGAGTCAACTACCACACCTATTGTTTACCCCAGTTCTAGAGATAAACACTGATATGGCAGTGTTTTAGCCATGGAGCTATAGAAAGAAGAGGTTGCCTTTGTCCAGTAGCAGCTGTTCTCCCAACCACAGGGCTGAGTTCATGAGTCTGCCAAGCAAAGATTTAAAGTGATTATAAAGTTCATTTATTTATTGTTTGCAGTGTTGGACATAGAATCTGGAACCTTGAATATGCTAGTTGAGCTAGCTACTTTTGAGCTACGTCCCAGCCTCAAACTGCTTTTGAAGGGGTGGGAAGTACTTGTCAATCACTCAGATTTTGCAGTTAGAAGCCTAAATTTTTACATGGTTCATAATTTATTTGAGTACTTTCAGAGCACTAAAAGTAGGAATTATTACTCTGTTAGCTGGCAATTCTGGACATGTAACTGCAACTTTAACCTTACAGAGACTGGGGAGATGGCTCAGAAAGTATGGTGATTGATCCATACTGTGGAGACCAGAATTTAAGTTTCTAGCACCTAAGTATGTAAATCCCAGGTGGATGTGTCAGCCTGCCTGCAGTCTCAGTATCTGGGAGGTGGAGATGGGATCCTTGGAGCAAGCTGACTAGCTAGGATAGCCAAATAAGTGAGTCTGGGTTCAAGTGAAAGACCCTG